GTCGGTAAAATGAACTGTCGGTAAAATGAACTGTCGGTAAAATGAACTTTCGGTAAAATGAACTTTCGGTAAAATGAACTTTCGATAAAATGATTGTCGGTAAAATAATACGTTGGTAAAGTGATTGTCGGTAAAGTAATACGTACCCATCTGATATTATGGATACCCATTTAGGTTTATTCTCAATTGAAATAAGAACAGCATGGAGAGAAGATGCTGTAAACCAGGCATCTTGTCGTGTATCATTTGACCAATGATCAAATGCACTAACATCTAATTCACCATCTTGATTTTTAGTATATAATAATACACTGTGCAAAGTCCATCCTTTCTTACCAAAAAATTTATCCTTAGCTTCACGAGCAGATTTTGGAAGAACACGCATTTTATAATCTACTACTAGGACTGCACCTTCATAATCTAGTTCTCTAAGTAAAAAAGAAAACTGTGGATTCAAATATACCTTCCTTGTTTGATGGCTAAGATAATAGCAAAGTTTTTCCTGGGCATCATCCAATACACCATTAGATGATTTACCAATGGCATCTTGTAGATTTTCAAATAGAATCCAGAATTCATCACAATTTTGACAAGTATTTGCATGTTTCTCTTCACAAATACCAAAAGCATATAAAAGACAATGTGAAATGCAAGGATCGTGATGAGGTTGACCATCTATTTCAATTTTGATTTCTTTTTCATAATTTAGTTTCATATGTCTTAGCAGTTCAATTCTATGAATAAAATTGGCCTTGCATAATATTCATCTTAAGTTTAGTTTTTGTAAATAATTATAAATTTAAGAAAAAATAAATTTTAGCTTACCTTGAGCTCTTTATCAAGATTATTTGATGAAACCAAATGGATTAGATCTTCAAAAACATTATAACCATAATGACAACAGGTTGAACATAATCCTCCAAGGTCTTCTCTATACTGAAACCTTTGACTTTTTAGTTGTGTCATAAAAGAGGTTCGCTTGATACCATTTGGATATGTTATAGAATACTTATCCCAAAGTGCATCTTTTGTATCCTTAAGATATAATACTGGGAGGCTTGTTTTACTATCAACTTTATAAGAACTCATATTTACAATTAATTTATCTGAAAAGAAATTTTCAAATTGCTTTTTTGCTTCTTCTGAAAAACGATTTTGATGAATTTGTGGTTTTTCAATAGGAGGGCATCCTGGTCCATTCAACCTTGCAAATTTTCTTGCTTTATTTAAGGTATTAGAAGCTACATTTATCTAAAAGTAAATTCTTGTTAATATTTTCCCTACAATCATTTTTTAAGCAATTTACCTTTAATTTGTTCAGTTCTTCTGAAGTGAAATTATCTGCTACAATTGATAATATTCTACATTTTCCTTCTAGTCCTTTTTTATTTGCATCTATAGAATCAGCCATACTTTTAGATAAACGTTGGGCATTATTACATATTGCTAGATCACATGTTGACTCATTAGGAGTAGGACAAAGGAACCCTTTATTATAAAGCATAAGTAATGTTGCTTCATCATATGAAGGATTAGGATTCTTTGTCCAGAATTCACACTAAAATTGTAAAATAAAGGGTAAAGAGGTTAATATAAATTATTGGAATAAATTAATTTTATTAAATTGTAATACCATAGATTCCCTCTTATCAAATGGTGTTATATTTGTTCCTCCTGCAGCTTTTATTAATGCTTTCCAAGCACAACACTCTCTGTCATTAAAGATGTGATTTGAAGGATATATATTGGCAAGCTCTGATTGGAGCTCAACAATGTCACTACTTTGAAAAGACCAATTTTCAAATAATTTGTGCCAATCAATAATAGCTAATGTACGTGTTTTTAAATGATGTAAATACAAAGGTTCCATGATATTCAAGTTATTCCAATCTTTAAATGTGCAAGTGGGCTTTTGATGTTGTGTTAATTTTTTTGAGTATTAGGATCTTTTAGGCCAAAAAGATCATCCCCACTAAATCTTTGCAATAAATTTAATTTTGCCCACACTTCATTAGGTGTTTTCCCTTCAAACTGTGCAACAATTTCTCTATCATCATAAATTTCAATGCAACAAAGTTTATTTTTTATACTTTGGAAAAATAAGCATCTTTT